TCTCTTTCTGGAATTTAGATTTATTCTAAATTACGTCTGTATCTGCACAGGTGAGTGAGTACACTGGATCCTCTAGAGCATGGATGCTAGGAACTGAACTTGAGTCCTCTATAAGACCATAAACAGCTGTCTGTCTAGCTCATTTTCATTTTTTTTATTATTACTATTTTAAGTAATAGTCCTCCTTGTGTCTGAACCCACTACATAGTTTGCCACAGTCACACAATTAGGCAAACTTTAGCTGATGGAGGTATAAACACTTTTCTTAGTTAATCTCTGGCTAATAACAGGATAGACTCTAATCTGTTCGTGAGCACTTGATGTAGTCCTTGAGATGTTCTAGGATGGCAGGTTTGAGGCTTGTTTATTGCAGGAGGACAAGGCATGGAATTCTTCCTAACATAGAGGATGCCATCTTCACAGCTAAAACACAAGAGCACCACCCTGCTGTGCAATGGAGGTTGGAGGCCTTGTTAAAGGAGCATGCACACTGGGGAAGGTTGCCTCTCCGACAGTCTGTTCATGCTCCGGGAATACTGTTTAAGACTTCTGACCTCCTGGAATTCCTCTGACAGTATATTTTTTGTTTCTTTTTTTCTCTTGTACCTTTTATGAGATTTTCCTTATTTTTCTCTCCCGTGCAAATTACTTCATGTTTTCTAGCCAGTCTTTTTCTTTTACTATTGGTAGAATTTGATCACACTTTAAAAAAAAAATGTTTCCAGATTATAAAAGTACCCATGGTCTTAGGTTTTAAAAGTTGTTAAATTGTGTGCGTGCATACATACATGCTATGGAACATGTCCTCTTTCATCATGAGGGTCTGAGGGACCCCAGTCATCTGCTTTTTACCCATTGAGCCATCTTTGTGAGCCCTACATTTAAATTTCAGACTAAGACAGCATTTATTGTATGGTGTGAAGTATACCTGTAATATTTTACTATTTCTCAAGTGATTTATTGACCCAAGAGCTCATATCTGTTTACTGATTTGAAGTTTTTAGTATTGTGTTTCCATGTGTGTGTCGATTGTTGATTTTCCTGTCTTCTATTCACTTATATATCATTTTATGACTAATTCTCTTTAGAATGTTAGTGTTTTCCTCATAGGTTTTGCAAATCTTTTAATAAATTTACCATTAGGCATTTTGTCCTTCTATGGGGTTGGCACAAGAGAACTTAATTTACTGTTTGCATATATGAATATTACTGGTTTTTTGTATGTTGATTAATAAACCCTGTTATGGCTTATAATAATATTTTCCAGGCATACTTCTTGAACCAAGCTGTCTGACCCTATTTTTATGATTTTATGACTGAAACAAGTTCCTTGCTCAAAAGCCATGAGTTGGTGACAAATAAGTTTGCTCAAGGTCAGAAACTTTGGAGGGTAGTAGAACAAAAGCATTCATCTCCCAAGACAGAGACCATCTTTGGGGCCTCAGCTTTATAGGGAGAGGCAAGAGGGCAGGGTGGGAAGAGAGGGAAGAGGAGACAGGGAGTGCCCTATATTCTGAGCAGTCTTCATCCTGAGTATGTTTTCTCTTTGCCAGAAGATCTTGATAGAGCAACTAAGTTTTATCTCTTAGACCAGTCCCTATATTCTTTAAATAAAAACCGTGGATTCTTTTTCACCATTAGTACCCAAATACCTGCTAGAACATCTTAAAAGTGGAAAGAGAGTTGATCTGTGGTTGGTTGTCCCTGCGAGGCAGATAGGTATGTGAGTGCTGGGACATGTGACAAAGTTAGTTCATCTCAAAAAGGAAGAGGCAGATTAGGGTCCTGTGACCCACTTTGTCCAGTTAGATCCACCTGCCAAAATAGGGCCACCAACAGGGGCAGGGGGAATATTGAAAACATAAGCCTGTAATCATATCCAAATGATTACAGGTAAACACTTCACTGCAAGGTAATCACTATTTCACCTGTAACTAACAAGATTGGCAAATAGTTGGGCCTCAGTTTTACAAGTCTGAAGACCAGATAACATGGACTCTTTAAATCTAGAGAAAAGTTACTGGTCAGTGAATTTGAGATCCTTTTCCTAAGAAGTTAGCCTGTAGTTAGCCATTAACTGCAAAGTATCTTTTTGCTGGAGAACAGGGAGAAATAACAAAAGATAGTTTTAAAACACCCGGCGCTTCATTTACAGCTAAGCCGTATGAGGTCAGAGCAAGTGAAGCTGAAGAGTTTTTATTTTCCTTGATTATAATTCTCCAGGCATTCGTGGCTTTTCTTATCTAGTCATGTCTGATTCCTGAAAGTGTTTGTTAGTGCTGGAAACAGCATCTTTGCCTTGTTCCTTAGTTCTATGAGAATGCCTCTCCTTAAAAAGATTGTGGTTCTTATGGTCAGATAAACTTGTGCTATAATCGCATTGCAGCATAAACTATAATTATTTGGCTTTTGAAAAGTCAAAAAAGTCGGGTGCTGCCAGGGTGACTGCTTCTGTGTCCCCACTGCCCAGAACAAGATGGCACATTTTCCTTATTGCCTTCTATACTTCTAAGACCCCGAATTGCTGGAGACTAACAGGGGCCTGGCAAGAGAGAAAGATGATTTGCAAAATCCTGGCCTTAAAGCACAGTAGAGAATTATGGGTGGGAATCTGAGTAACATTAGTAGCACACACACACAAAATGGTCTAGGAATATTTGTCAGTGCACTGATAAGAAAACATCCATGGATCTGTGGATCCTGAAACCTTGTGGTGTTTCAGCCTTTTGCTTTGAAAGTGGCTATCACTGTGTACCTAGGGTGGTCTGAAATCTGCTGCCTTCAAACACATGATATCCCTATCTTGGCTTCCAGAAGCTGGAATTACAAGTGTGAGGCACCATACCTGGCTAATGTCCACTTTTTAATGCATGCCAGCCATTGTCTCAACTCTGTCACTTGACACTTGCCTGTATGATACCAAGACTGAAATGTTCTGTTCTTTGCTAGCTGAACTCCTGTCTAGAGGGCACTAGAGGAGAGAAGTACAGAGAAAGAAAGGGCCTCCGCTTGCTCCTTCCTTACAGCTTACACTTTCTGTGGGCTTCACCTTAGTAAGCACATTTTGTCCAACAGTGCCAGTTGGTTGTAGTTGCCAGCTAGCTTCAGCACTACCAGAATCAGCCGAATGTTCAAATCTACACTTGGGCACCTCTGCCAGAGGTCACAGCCTGTCTTTTCAAGACTCCTCCTTTGCACTTCTCTTTAGAAATTTCAGGTGTAGCTCGTCAAAGCCCTTCTCCTGAGGTACTGTAAAGACTGAGCAGTGCCCTCCCTCAGAGGTAATTAATCTAACCCCTTCCATTTGTTCCCACAGTTGCCCACTGCTAGAATTTTCAGTTTGCATTGTCAGCAGCATGTGCTGCATGGATAAAAAGACTTGTAAAGAAGTCTTACTCGTCCACCAGTTTTACTGGTGCTGTAATACTGATGTTCTTATTCTTAAATAGATTTATGGAAAAATAAAGAAAATAGCTTAATTTTTTTAATATTTATTTTATGTGTATGAGTGTTTTGCCTGTGTGTCTGTATGCCTTTCTATGTGTCTGCACATGTGTTTATGTACATGTGAATGCATGTGTATATATGCATGTATGTATGTATGTACGTGTGTACATATATATATATATATATATATATATATATATATATATATGGGTGTGCGCATGTGTGTGTGTGTGTGCACGCCTGGAGCCCTGGGTCAGTAGAAGAAGGAAATCAGATTCCCTGGAACTGGAGTTGTAGAAGACTGTGAATGTTGGGAATTGAACCTGTTAGAAACAAATGCTCTGAACCACTGAGCCATGTCTCCAGCCTGTAGTTTAAGATTTTAGAATCAAGATTATTGGAGTCAGGGGAACGATAGAATTCTAGCTCTTAATTTGTTCACTATTGGTGTAGCAGAATGCCCCAAACTGGATACTTTATAAAGAAAACAGGCTTGTTCTAGTCCTGGGTACTGGAAGCTCTTAACCTCTGAACCATTTCCCCAGCCCCTGTCAAACATAAAGTATTTTTCAAAACAGAAAATGTTTGACAGGTATTAGTCACACACACACTTTGGTTCCAGCACTCAGGAGGAGGCAGACAGCTGATAGGAACTGTCAGTTCAAAATCAGTACATTTCAAACTAGCCATAGCTATATAGTGATACACACACACACACACACACACACACACACACACGAAAGAGAAGAAAGAAAAGAATATGCGCTCACACACGTTTTCTCTCCACTGATGCATTTAGGGATAAAACACTCCATCTGAAATGTGCTTAAGATATTGAGGAAGCCAGGAGGTGTTAACCACTCCTGGAATTGTTGAGATGTGGTTTATTCTTCTCTACGTACAAACTTGGGAAGTTTTCACAATAAAAATATTGTGTAGTGGCGCACGCCTTTAGTCCCAGCACTCAGAGGCAGGTGGAGAGCTATGAGTTCGAGGCCAGCCTGGTCTAAAAGAGAGTTCCAAGAAAGCCAGGGCTGTTACCCAGAGAAACTCTATGTGATTGAGGGGTGGGGTATGGGGTGGGGGAGGGGATGTTGTTTTGCATTAATAAAATAATCTAGGGATATATACTAAGTGAAACGAGGTGTGAAAAATAATTTGGTCTCATTTGAGACTTGCCAGGTTTTCATAAAGCAGATTCTAAAATGTAAAGAAAGCCAAAAAAGTAACGTTAAGGGTGCAGGACTCTTGGGAAGTGACTCAGCAGTACAGCCAAGCTGCCCTCTCCCTAAACAAATGAACTGGAAACCACATCCAACAAACAAGCATTGGCACAGGATCCTAGAGCAATGACTCAGGAATTCCTGAGGCTGTCTGCAGAGCTACCCCTCCCCACCCCATCGATGCTAAAAACCAAAGATTTCAGTGTGTCTCCCGCGCTGGACAGTTTTCCCTTTAGGACCTTGGCAGCATTGATCTTTCCAGAACTTACTGGGAGGGTGGAGACCTAGAGGCGCAGGCAAGCCCCGCCCTCTGGGCTCATAGAATTTATTCTCTCCAAGGACAGGCACTGCTAGGAACTTGCAAGGGACCTCGGCGTCATGGACCCCCCACAGCTGCTTTTCTACGTGAATGGCCAGAAGGTGAGCGCCCGGGTAGGGCGGGCAGACTCCTGCATCAGTCCCGGGCCCCAGTCCCGAGCCCTATCCCAGCCTGCGCCCCGCTTTCTTTGAAACCTTAGCATGGAGTCTTATTATGAGTCCTCAGCATAGGAATTGGCATTATAAAACTTGGCACGTTTCAAAGGAGATCAAAGTAATTTTCAGACCTTTTGCGTCAAGACCAGCACATGGAAAACTAAGAGTTTCAGAAATGTCTAAATCCCAGAGCCTCTCCGTTCCCTGTTGGGAATATCCAAACCTTCCCTCCGTTAAAGCCCGCGTTGATAACAACTTCCAGCACAATCAAATAAGTAGCCTCAATTTTCAGCTTATCTGGGTGAGCAATGCCCACCCTGGACAGGGCCACAGAGATGCACTGGTTCTAGCTGCCCTGTGATTTTTCAGATGAAGTTGTAATTTAGTGAAGCCAAAGAAAGTTCTTAGCACAGCACAGCTTGACAGAATCAGGGACCCCTGCTGAGTGTGACATTTTGTTTTATTTATGTGTGTGCCTTGGCTCTGAAGACTTTTATGGCTGCTCCAGGCAAAGCCTGTTGCTTGGGGACATCATTTAAAGCATCCCAGGACATCATTTAAAGCAGCTGTCTGCGTAGTGGCCCAGCTTATTCGGAGGGTTCTCAGTGTAAACTGATAGCACTTTGAGTTGGAGGATGGAGACCTGGAGACCTGCTGTCCACAATGTCAGTACTGCTCTGATTCCCTGTGACTGGCTAGGGACAGCTAGAGTCCTTGTCCTAGCTGGCACTGGCTGACCCTCAGGAAGCCAAGGAAGGTTTAGCGCCAACTAGACCCTTCGTGTATGAGGCCTCTTCTGAAGCTATGAGTTGATTCACACAGCTGTAGTTTTGTAATGTGTTTTCTTCCTCTTGAAGAACAGGGTCTCCCAAATTATAGAAGCCCACATAAAAAAGTTTAAAAGTTTATGAGTCCCTGCTTCATGGCCCTGAAGTGGAATAGATAGATCTTTGATGAGATCCATTAGGGCCCCGCAGGACCACCATGTGAGCTAGGATAATGGGGTGAAATGGCTGCCCTGCTCCTTCGGGTTTTCTTTTGCATAACAGAAAAAGCTGGAGAGTGTTCTGTCCTTACTAAACAATCGGAATCCATTGCAGATATGCCACTCACTGAGATAACCTCTTGGCAGACTCAAAGGCTACTAACAGGCCAACTTACTTCGGAAAGCGCGATCATGAATGTGTGTTTTCATGAACATCTTAACAGACATTAAACTGTGTTAGGGCTTATGGGATACAGCAAACCACAGAAATGATGCGACCCCTGGTGGTGCGCAGTTGATACTGTGCTGGCGAAGCAGCCAACAGGCATATAAATAAATGGAGAGAATGTGGTGTTAGGAAGTGGCAGGTGCTGGCATGAAAACGGAGTGATGGTCAGGACCTGAAGGAGTGAATGGAGGGGATGCTTTGACCTTTCAGAGCAGGGGGCACTGGAACAGTGTCTGGGATGAAGTAGGACCTAGCCAAGCATGCGCACGCGTGTGTGTGTGTGTGTGTGTGTACATATGTATACAAATATACACAGGCACACAAACACATATACACATATATGTATACAAACACACACATATGTATACGTGTGTACAAATACACACACATATATGGGGAAAGGAATTTCAGGCAGAGATATCCAGGTGCAAAGATCCCAAAGAAGGAGAATATTTACAAGCACTGTGAATAGATTGTTAGGGCTGGAGGTGTGGTCAGGAGCCAGAATACAGCTTTTTGGGGAACAGGGGGTGAGCAGATTAGGCAACTGAGCTATTTTCTCAGTGTGGGAAGGTACAGACCTCTTTGCAACCACATCCTGTCAAGAAGGAATTCACATAGGTACCAGTTCCACTGTTATACCTTTTCTTCCATGACTAAGCCTGTGAGGGACTCTGCCTTCACACAGACCCAATCCATCATTGTAAAGGAACAGATTTATGACCATAGGGTGGTTGGCAGTGACTGAGTGTTCTTCATGCCTTATAAAATGTCCAGATTTGTTTCTCAAAGAGAGAGTATTTATTCTCCACATGTGGAAAGCATCTGCAATAGAAGCCAACAGGCAAATACTGGTGGAATCCTTTTGGCTCTATGAAGAGTCACCAGTTGCCAATTCAACAATAAACATAATATCCATAATTAGGATATCATCTGGTTCAATATTGGTCAGGGTTGCATTCATGGAGATGAGATTACTGGCACTTGCTAAAGCTATTCTTTGTTCCTGTCCCGATTGGAAATTAGCTGCCTTTCTAGTAACACTATAGAGGGGTTTTGTAATAATCTGTAAATATGGTATGTGATTTCTCTAGTGTAAAAACACACCAATATGGAGCTGTATCAAAATTTTTTGTCTTCGAGTGGTGGGATGAAAGATGTGCACCATCACCACCTTGTTCACTGTAACTCTAGAATTTAGAAGATAATTCATTTATAGGGATCTGCCTGTCTTTACTGGGATTAAAGGCCTGGACTCCCCACCACTGCCTTGCTCAAATATTTAATCTTAGCTCCAAATCACTCTAACTTTTAAAAACAAGTATGAACTATAGCAACCATTTGAATTTACTTAAAACATTTTAAATCTCTTAACTGTGTTTTTAATACCAAACAACAAAAATATCCTTTTTATTTAAGAAGAAAACTCAAAATCATATGTCCAAGATGGTTTGGACCATGAGAAAATCTATACTTTTAATATTCTAACATGGAATTAAAACACATAGTTTAAGAAAACCCATTTTTTATTTCATATCTGTAAGGCAAGTATGCCTTTGGTAAATTATCATTTGAAAATATTTTTATTTTTATTTTGTTATGCCTAGTTGACCATTTTAAAGGTAGAGTGGTTGGGACCTTTGAAAGACCAACAGCTGTTATGCCCTGCTCATGTACAACCTGAACGGTCTGTGGCTGTTTTTAGTAATATCTTTTAATATTTTTCTCAGAAGCATTCCTTATTTTATGGTTTGTTTCTGAGACTGGAGAGATGTTAGTCTGTGTTTTCCATTGTTGCAACAAATGACATCCCCATAACTTCATGGCTATATTATCCACACGTGGCTTTAGTTTTCCTATTTGTCCTTCTGGCTCTATACCCTTGACCTATCTTGCACTTTAACCTGAGATAAAGTTCCAGTCCCTAGAAGCTGGATATTTACCTTCTGATAAGGCCAATCTGGATGCCATTATTTTAATGAAATTATTGCTACATCTGCCTCTGTGTCTACTAAATCTTCAATTTCAATGCTATTTATTTGTATAGCTTTGATATCTGATCGTTTATAGCAGTTTGCCAAAATATTTTTTTTCTTTTTGTTTTTTTGATTTCTGTTTTTTTGAGACAGGGTTTCTCTGTGTAGCTCTGGTTGTCCTGAACTCACTCTGTAGACCAGGCTGGCCTCGAACTCAGAAATCCACCTCCCTCTGCCTCCCAAGTGCTGGGATTAAAGGCATGCACCACCACTGCCTGGCTACTTTGGTTTTTTTTTGTTTTTGTTTTTTTTTTTTGAATACTTGTTTTCTGATCTCTTCTGAAGATTTTGTCTTATCTACAGAAGCTGTTTTGGTCATGATTAAATCCAGAACAGTGTTATTTTTAACAACAGACATTAAATATTTTAATTGCTCTGTGACTGATTTTCTCTGACAGTGATAGACAAATAAAACTTGATATCCAGCCTGCTGGAGGCCCCCTAGGGCATTTCCCAGTGGCAAAGGGTTGCCTTGCCTATCCCTTGATCTACATTCATTAGTCCAATGCCAGCCTTTGCCAACCTTCTGCATACTCCAGAAGGCTGGGGCCTTCATTTTTTAAAATTATCTCTAGAAAAAACATGCCTTGACTATAATCTCTTTTCAAATGACCTTGCTTACCACAATTCAAACATCAGACATTTTGATTTTTCTTAAAACTTTTGGAAATTACTGTTCCTATCAGAGTAGCATCATAAACATGAGAGCCAACATCAGCCATATCTATAATCCTTTCCTATTGGTGCCGATCTTGCCTTTAAAGGCCTCGTCACTCTTTTGCATTCTGAATTAGCATTTTCAAAAGCGAAAGATTTGATCAATATTTATCTGACTTCTTAATCTGATACTATTCTATTTACAGCTGAAGTCAATCTTTACATAAAATCAGTGAAGGCTTCTTTGGGGACTTGTATAATTTTAGTAAATGACTCAGACTTCTTTCCTGATTCTCCAACCTTGTCCCAAGCACTTAAAGCTGCTAAATGACAAAGTGCCAATGTTATGATCATCGGATTTAAGCTGCCTTTGTAACTCAGCCTATTGACCTTCACCTAGCAACTGATCCTGGGAAATATTAATACCTCTAGCGCTATTGTGTTGTTCTTAGGCACCGGCTTCCTCTTTCCACCATGTGCACCATTGTAACTAAGGACCAGTTTCCAATATTGCTGTTGCCAAATCTTTCCAGTCTTGGGGGATAATTTTGTTCTGAGTTGCCCCATGAATTTACTATCTGCTTTTTTTAGGGTGAATGCAAACCACATTAAACAATCTCCTTAAATCTAATATGTCTATAGGGTTTGATTTAACGTCTTCATAACCTTGGGGGTGCCATTTGCATCCTGAAAGGTCTTGTATATTAGCTGAATAAACTAAGGTTGGTTTTCTAACAATTTTGGGCTGCCCCTCTTCAGTTTCATCATGCAGTGACACAGTAGGGTCTTTTCTAAATTCCCCTGTATGTTTCTGAGTATTTTTCTTTTTTTCTTTTCTTTTCTTTTCTTTTATTTTATTTTATTTTTGTCCTGGAACTCACTTTGTAGACCAGGCTGGTCTCAAACTCAGAAATCCGCCTGCCTCTGCCTCCCAAGTGCTGAGATTAAAGGCGTGCGCCACCACTGCCTGGCTCTTATTTTCTTTTATAAGTCTTTCTAAGGCTTATCAATTCACTCATCATATTTGGCACAAAACACTACTATGGCTATTAAGGACAAAATATGAATTATCAGACTGATAGTAATTACGATCAATGTCAATCTCAGTTAAGTCATTTATCTTTTTTTTTTTCTGCTTCTATTTTTGGTCATGCCATGTGTTTGAGTCCCAAATGTTGTTTTTAACAAAATCTTAGTTGTTTGATTTTGCCAATGAAGACTTCGGAGCCAGATGCTGAGGTGAAAGCCTGTTAGAGAGGCAGAGAATGTAACCAACTGATCTTCCGTGTCAGTGAAGTCCCAAAAGGCAGAAAACATCTTTCCCCAGACTGACTCAGAAAAACTCTCAAGCTGAATATCCCTTCGTTCTACTTCCTATGTATCTCTGTCCATGCACCTGACTTCCTCTTGCTGTCTATTGCCAGAATCCTTGTCTGGTGAGTTCAGTAATCCAGAATGGAGATGTGGAGTCAGTGAAAAGGAGGACTCTGACCACTTGGTGTTGTTCAAGCAAGTGGCCCTGAATAGCTCAAGCCATCTTTATTTATACAGAATTTCAGGACATTCGAACACATATGGTTTCAGATTTTCCCTAATCATTATCCAAGAATCTCAACAAATACTTATTAAAATTTATTTTAAGTTCCCCTTATTTTCTCGTGGTCAGAGATTAACCTTTTACTATGTCTAAGCAGTATAGTATTACAATCCAAATGATTATGTCATAGTGAAGCACACCTGAATACTGAGAGACAAATGATCTAAGTATTTTATTGCAAACAAATGATTATATCTAGCCAGGCACAACTAATTTCTGCATAGGCCGCCAGTAGATATGCAGTTTCCAAGTAAAAGACAATTAGAATCTAAACAAACTTTTAACAGGAATATAACCTCTGTATTTTATCACCTTCTAATTCAGTATGCTCACAATGCATTGCAAGTTGTCTTTATGCCATAATCTGTCTTAGATTTACAGAATGGTCTTGCCCTATACAACTTTCCTATAAAGAGCAGAAGCTAACTTTTCCATCAACTCATACTGTTTCTTTCTTTTAGATAGGCCCTTACCTAAGGCAAAATGAATCTGTCCAATTTATATTTCTTTTAAGAGCATACCAATTTTTACTTACTAACATATCCTAAGGCTGAGCTAACTTGTCCTGAGAATGAACTCTTTCCTATTAACCTTTAGACCCTGTTTCTTTAGGCACTATCTTCTCTAAGTAAGTTTTGAACTTTCTCTTCAAAGTATTGGCATCCTCAGAAGAAGTTGTTGGCATACCCAAACCCCTTCCTTTTTCCTCATATATTCCTATCAATTTTGAGATCATCCAATGAAAGGTATTCTTTAAAGGTCTTAATCATTCATGTCTTTACCTAACATTTTAAATAAGCGAGAATCATGGTTCCATCTCCAAAGGATCGACACAGTCATTCTGGTTATCATTCCCACTAGTCCTGCCAAGTAGGAGAAAGAGTCCAAGGGGCCTTGTCTCAAGGAGGTCATTTACGGAACATTCTTGTACCTTTCCCAGGAGAGACAACATGGCTCTTTCCAGTCTATGGCTTTCTTTCTGTCAGCTGGTTGCTTGTTCTGCCTCTTGACCAATGGTTGAATTTATTTAATCCTATTTACAACATTCAAGCAGAAAGTTCTTGGATTAAAGGTGTGTGCTAGGGATACAGCCACACCACAACTAGAAACAGTAAACAATACAATCTCAGGATCACAGTGTGATCAAATATCCTGCAACTGCATGGCAGGTACACAGGATGATCAGACTAATATTTTAGAGCCACCACTTCTACAGGCTAGGCTTATAGATGGCAGGGTGGAGGCAGAAAGTCCTGTGAGACATCTCTTGTAATTGTGAAGACTCCAGATGATGAAGGCTCATGCTGGTGGTGATAGTGTAGTAGACGGCACTCAGAATCATTTTCAGACACTCAAGAAGCAGAACTTGGTGGCCCTGATTGCAGTGGATGGAAATAAAAAGTTAGAAATAACCCAGGTTTCAAAACTTAGAAGTCCTGGCCAAGAATAAGGCTGTGAGTGGGTTGGGGAAAAAGAGAGACAAGTGTAAGCTTGGTGAATTAACATCAAGTTTGTCTGAAGGCCAAACATCCTATGGAAGGTGTGTGTGTGTGTGTGTGTGTGTGTGTGTGTGTGTGTGTGTGTGTATTGCATGTTCCTCTAGAGTTTGCTTTGTCCTGTAAGTGTCTGAGGAGTCAACAATGGAATGTATGCCTTCTCTTCCTAAGATGATCAGGATTTATATAAATATTTTAAGTAAGCCCTTATTCTTTCTGTTCTGTTCTGTTCTGTTCTGTTCTGTTCTGTTCTGTTCTGTTCTGTTCTGTTCTGTTCTGTTCTGTGAATGCCAAAGGAATCTCAAATGCATGGGGTGTGAGAGCAGAAGAGAGGACCAGCTGGAGGACCGCAGTGGGGGAAAGGATAAATAGAAACAAAGCAAAAATGTCACAAATCCATTTCTTTATGTACTAACTTAAAACATTACATTTAAATTTTATGTGTATGGGTATTTATTATGTGTATGGTATGTATTTTATGTGTTTTGCTTATACATGTATGTCTGTGCAGTACATGTGTGCTTAAAACAACAACTTTTTAAAATTTAATCAAAATAGAGAAAACAAGATTTCATGACAAGCCATCATATTTCAGTTTCTGCACCTGACTGTCTGTCAGGCCAGTTGCTTAGGTGTGCCTGGCTGCACAGTCATGTGTGGCTCGCTCAGCACATGCATTTGCTGCTTTATTTGAGTATTTGGGGACTTGGTTGGCTGTGGTCACAACGTGGGGGGGTCTTTAAAGTAACTACTGTCATCTCTCAGATGCTCTGCCAGCAGTTCTTCTCTCTGTTCTTGCTTCCACCTCCCCATCCCACTGTTCCGTCCCAGTGTCTTTCCAGGAGAAGTGGACAGAGTTACTAATGTGCCCATGAGTGGAAACAGCCGTCACCTTAGGGAACGGTGATGATTCCAGATAAGGGACAGTTGGGGTTGGAGATTTATCCTTTCACTTGTATGTTGACATTTGTATATCACAGGAGCATTTCTCTCAAATCACCAGGGTCCTACTGGTGTGAACATAACACCACACCAGCTCTCATTTCTGTGTGCATAACTATGTTTCTATTGCACAGGTGGTAGAAAAAAATGTCGATCCTGAAATGATGCTTTTACCGTACCTGAGGAAGAATCGTATCCTTTGCTGTGTATTTTGAGGGTGTGGGTTTGTGTGTGTTAAGTCCATGAGCCTGTGAGAGTCTATGTATGTGTGTGTGGGTTTGTTTGTGAGCATATGAGCACATACATATATCTAGAAGTCTGTAGCATGTTTGAGTATGCATTTGTATGTTCTTGTGTGTGAGCTTGGGAGGAATATGAGTGTGTGGATGAGTGTGAATCTTTGTGTGAGCTTGTGAGTGTGTGTCTGTGTTTGAGATATAAGATGTTTGAGTCTGTGTGTCTGAGTGTTGAATGTGTTTTGTGTGTTACTGTGGGAGAATGTGTGTTTGAGTGAGAGCGAGTGCATGAATGTGTGTATTCATGTAAGTGTGAATGAGTGTGAATGCATGCCAGAATGTGTTATGTATGCATATGAGCCTCTCTGTGTGTGTTTGAGTATGTTTTAGTGAGCCTCTGAGTGTGTGTGCGAAAGGGTTTACAAGTGTGTTTGTGTGTGAGTTTGTGGGAATGAGAATATTTAAGAGTTTTTGAGTGTGTGGAGAGTGTGATCACATGCTCCAGACCAAGAATCTGGTAGGGAGCAGGCAGATGCCTGCCACACCTTCCTAAGTTTCCTGGCACAGTTCAAGTAGATCAGAACAGAGTTCTCCATGCTAACGAAATATCTAGATAGACACTGAGGATTTACCCAATAAACTTCCCTTCCCGAAAATTTTTTCCTATAAAAGGTATTTAATCTCTCTGGTCTACCTTGAGGAGGTCGTATGGACCCATTTTCCACAATGAACAATCAATAAACAGTTTGGAATCAAAGATTGTCTCTCTCATCAAGAACTGCCATGGAGAGCATGAGGAAAGCCTTCGTCTACAAATCCATGCAGTCTAAGACTCCTGCAGAAAGCCCTTCCGAGCTCGGGACTTGCCGAAACTGAGTTTGCGGAGTTCCCTATTCCCCCAACCATGCTTGTTGTCCTCAGCCCATGGGCCCCTTCCCTTCTGACGACTCCCAGTGATTGCCACCAGCAACAGGACACCCAGGAGCTTGGGAACCCAGCCTAGGCCTCAGCCTATGCTGTTTCTCACTCAAGCTGAAGCCCTTAACCAAGGGTGCATTCTCCCACCCACTGCGTGGTGTATCAGTGCTTCCCACAAGGCCAACACCTGATGGCAGCACAGGATAATTGCAGTCTAGAGTTCCACATTTTGTTGGCCTGGTGGAATTCCCACACCCCAGCAGCAAGGCAGAAGGCAGAACCACAGATGTGGGCCTGTGAGTATGTGTGCTTGAGTGTGCCTAAATGAATAGATGTACGTGTGGGTGTGTGACTGGGTTTGTGTCTGAGAGAGCATTTCAGTGAGAGTGTCCATGAATGTGTGTATGTGAGTGTGCATTGTGCGTGAGAGTCTATGAATCTGTGTTGTGTGAGAATGACTGTCCGTGTGTGTATGTGTGTGTGTGTGTGTGAGAGAGAGAGAGAGAGAGAGAGAGAGAGAGAGAGAGAGAGAGAGAGAGAGAGGAGGACAGGGAGGGAGGGAGAGAGAGAGACAGAGAGAGACAGAGAGAGGTGAGAGTGTTTGAGTTGGTATGTATGTGTGTGTTTGAGTGTGTGTGGAAGTAATGAATGTATGAGTTTGAGAAAGTTCAGTGTACTTCTGTGTGATGTGTTTCAGTGGATGAGTGGTGTGTTTGGATGAACATGTCAGGGAATTCTCTAACCTCTGCTTTAGCACTAATTGGATTGGATAGAATAGAGAAATGAGCAAGGGGAATTAAAAAGAAGGATGTTTAAAAGCATTCATTAAGCATCCTGTAGGATTAACAGACAGTGTGCTTTATCTTCAATGACTGATGTTTATGCCACTGGAGAAAGAAAACACCAACGCTTTCTGAACGCAAATGAAAATGGAAAATTACATTTGAAAATATGACCCTATGTGCATTTCATAGTCCATTATGCATGAACTCCAGAGGCTGGCCTTTCCACTACATTATATGCAAAACATGAGAGTTGTTAGTATATCTGTCCACTGGGCATGGGGAAATTCCAAGCAAGAGCATAGAAGAAGAATCAATACTTTCAGACACATGAGTATGGCCCAGAAAGCCATTCAAGACCTTTAACCATAAGGACAACAAATACCGACTTTCTAAATAGCCACGGTACCTATGTATGGTAGTTCTTAGAGTTTGGTGCAATGTGGGTGCTAGAAACCCAGAGTACTAATAGGATAGAAAGTGGAAATTTTTTTTCTCACTGTACTGGTTTGTGTTCTCCAGGAAGCAGACACCAGAAAATACAGTGGCATGTGAGAGCATTTTGTTAGAAGAGATGTCCATGTGGAAGGAAAGCCAGAGAAGGATTGCTGGACCATTAAGGTACAAGGCAAGTCCAACCTGGAAATCAAGAAAAGACTGAGGGGAATGGTCCTAGACTTCTGGTCAGGCCAAAGAATATACATCAAAGCTACTGGTGATGGTTAACAAGGATGCCATTTCTCATGTATTACCAACTCACCAGCAAGGGAGCAGCCATAGGGAAGGAAGTTACAGTGGGAGGAGCTTGAGGTGTCTGGTCCCGTTACATCCACAGTAAAGAAGCAAAGAACAGTAGATGAATGTGTGCATGCTTCTGTCCCATTTTTCCTCTTTACAGAGTTCAGGACCCCTTTGCACAGGGAATAACTGCACCTCAATTTAAGACAGGTCTGCCCAAAAGTTAACATACTCATACCCAAGATAGTCCTCCACAGGCATGCCCAGAGGCCCATCTCCCATCTAGTTCTAGAGCTTATCAACGTGACAGCCGTAACCATGGTAAATCCTGGTGCCTTTGTCTTCTCTATCCTGCTCAGAAGGCAGCTTTTACCTATAGACATGAGCAAGTGAGGTCTACCCTCTATACTGAACTTCAGCAAATAGAAAGAGGTCAGGAAAAAGAAAAGTTTCCTTGCTCCTGAAGACCCTCCTCCCCTGGAAGTCATAAATAATATTTATATTTGCATCCTACTGTCCAGCAGTGACCCCATGAAGTAACTTTTGAGCCCTATAAGCTGCCTGACTTTATTTAAGACACTGGTTCTGAGCCTTTGAATGACCAGGGAGCTTACCAGCTTACCAACTGTAATGGCTATTCCCAGTTGTAACTTTACTATTTCTGGAATGAACTACAATCCAGAAATGAAGGGCACACCTGTGATCCATGTCTTGAGGCTAAAAGACATATACTTTTGATCCTGATTTTGAGGCATAGAGGCCATGAAAAGCTTAGGCCCAGGCAAGGTAGTACACACCTTTAATTCCAGGAGACAGAGGCACACACATATAGAAAGCTTCCAATAGGTCAGCTCTGTGTGTGACTAAAATTAGAAGTGTATGCTACCACAGAATACTGAGGGAGCAGATCAGAGGGAACAGTTAGAAGTTTTGGCTCGGAAGAAGCAAATGATTTACTGTGTTTCAGCGTGACACAAACATTTCATAAGGTCTTTACAACATTTTGCACTGTGCATCTCATCAGAGACCTACATAATGATGAAGGCAAATATCCAGGGCAAATGCACACTCCTGCCTGCAGATTCTCAGATACTTACACACATAGGCCTTTCCTTCTTCAGTCTGGCCCTCTTTTTGGCACCTATTTCCCAGCTTCATACAAAGGGTGGGTATAAGCTGTAACAGAAAAGGAAGCAGGAAATTACAAGACTTAAATGGCAGCCACTGGTGAATTCACACTGGACGTGCCTATACATGTCTGTGATGGCATTGCTTCCTTAGGTCAGGCAGGACTATTCTAGAAAGAAAAGAATGTAGAAAATGTTCTCTTTAACTGAGCTCCTTCCAGTCCGACTCACAGGAACCAAGTATGGCTGTGGAAGCGGGGGCTGCGGCGCCTGCACAGTGATGCTCTCACGGTACAACCCCAGCACCAAGACGGTCAGGTAGGTGCAGCAAAGTTCAGCTGTGAGTGACCTTCTTGCTCCCTTGTTTTATTCCCTCATTTGGTGAATGTATGTGAAGCATCTACCATGTGGGAAGAACTATGCTGAGCGCTGGGGGTTCCCATGACAAACAAGAATATGAATAGATTGGAAAAAAATTACCCCCTTCAGGGAATCGAAAGGCTGCCCGAGTCTGTGCTGTCTGGGAAGGAAGGATGCTTTGAAATGGCAGTAGAGAATGAAGCCATGCTCACACTCTGTAGTCAGGGCCTACTAACATCTCCCATGCAAGCATTCTCTATCGAAAACCAGAGAGCTCTGCTCCAAGGAAGAATTAGACAGCATCACTCTCCTGCTTAAAACCACCATGGTTTCCTATTTTGTTTACATTCTGCATTTATCTTCAACACATTGTTGTTTCGTGTATTTAATGACACCTCTGACTCTCTTCCCTCTTCTTCTGGGACTCCACTCATGCGTTTATTAAAGCACCTTTCCTCATTTTCCACATTCCAGGTGAAGACTGGGGTCTGAGAAGGAGCCAGGGCTCTGCCACGCCTGCATTCCCTGAGAAACCCCTCCAGGCTTCACGGCCTGACCGGAAGCCTTTTAGAACACCGGAAGTTCCTTTTTGGGCTCCTCTCTTACCTTCTAGGAGTCATGAAATCTTTGGCAGCCATTTTGTCTTATTCTTAGCCCCTTACATGATAACATTATACTCAGTGAAAGCCTAGAGTTTTCTCTCAGTTCTGCCCCTTCTGATCTTTGTTACAGAACCTGGACACCTGGGGAAATTCTTTCAGTCCCTTCCTCACTTCCACTTTGAGCCACTACCTCAACCCCCAACCCAGGGCACATTGGTGAGGAAGAGTCCAGCTTTGTGTTTTAACCCTTTATACCCAACTACATGTGACCACTAATGGTCTGCTGACTTAACAGTCTGGTTTCTCCTTCCTTACTCCTATATAAGACAGACTCTTCATTTTCCTTACATTTCAGAGGTACAGCAACTACATCTTAGGACTGAGAGCAACTGTTCATATATCTTCCCTCTTATTAGGATTTGACACAATAGAGAATCTGTTGTGACTCGTTCTGCCCCACGTTTGGGGGCCACTTTGTCCTGCCTGAGCTGCTGCTCCAGTCCCCGGGTCAGGGTCTAGCAAGAGAGAGAGTGGGGATGGAAGGGCAAGAGACATGAAGAATGGAGACAAGACAGAGGGTCTGATCAAGTCTCTTTTATTGAAAGGAAATCCTGGGTATTTATATGCTTTACCACATGCCTTGCCCTTGTGGACAAGCAGGAGAACACAGCTGAAGGCACTACGTCATGTGCCTTGCAGCGTGGATACCACGTGCGCCTTGTAGCTGTGCATGAAACACCAAAACAAGATATGTGAGAAAAACAAGATGTTTACCAGAGTGTGCTCAGCTGTTGTGGGCTGTTGAAAACAAATCTCTTGTCAGGGTATATGGCTCGAGATGGCTGCAAAGATGATAGCCGCTTTCTGCTAGGAGTCGGCTCCCAGTAAGAATTGTGGTTGCCAGGGGAGGGTGAGCCAGTTTTCTTTAGGGTGTGGCATATGGTGCTCTTCAGAGGATAGCCCCACACCCGGAGGATGTGGGTAGCACAAACTGGATTCAGTGGGTTATAAAAAAAAAGGCATGAAATGGGAGTAGGGTACATCCAGGAATTAGGGGAGAAGAGGCAGGAGTATGATGATAATAAATGGTATACATGTATGAAATTCTGAAAGAATTAAATTAAAACATCATATATATGTATAAAACAAACTCTTCCCATACACAGAGAAGCTTAAAAAAACTCCTGAGGAGATGAATTCTGTTTTGTATGATTTTGTAGCTTTTCTGGCTTATTTTGGTTTTAAAGCAAGATGATCTTACATTTAAACTGCGGATGAGTACAATTAGGCCAGTGTTCAAACTCATTGCTATTGGGAAGCCTTCCTTGGCACTTGCTACCTGGGATCTGCCTGATTCTAGCCTTGGGTAGTAGCAGGCTCTCGCATCCACTGGGCTTCGCCCCTGCTGACTTTCCTTCTGTCTCCTTCTCTTTGTAGATGTGTGATCTCATTCCCACTTCAGGGCACACACATATGCTATCCATCTGCCATTCATGTTGGACTCCTTCAGATCATCCAGAGTTTAGCAGAAGCATCGATGCTCTGGTCTCTCCCTGATCCCCCACACAAGTCAAATCCCCTCTGTCCGCACAAGCCATTCATTTATCTGCAGTCCTTCTCATGGTCTCAGTGACTTTTCAAGTTGTCTATCTTCCCTGGGCTAGAATGCACACTTTGCTGGGATTGTTCTGTCTCTGTTCACTAGTGAATCCCAATACCTGTAGCTCTGCCTGGCACACAAGCACGTAGATAGTCACCCAGTTCTTATGTTAACTTATCAATGAGTGATATCTTTCTTTTCTTTTCTTTTCTTTTCTTTTCTTTCTTTCTTTCTTTCTTTCTTTCTTTCTTTCTTTCTTTCTTTCTTTTTTTGCTTTTATCCTTCTGTGGAAACAAACTTTATATTCTGCTTAAACATGCAAAATTTTCTTAAATTTTCATGAATACTTTTAAAATAATAAATGCAATTTTAATAGCTTTGTGTGCTACAATATTTTGAGGCATCAAAACCAACCCCCCAAGTAGGGGATTTTTTTAGGATTCACCAGTGAACCATCTTATGGATAATGTTTGTATGTCCATGACCATTTACTTATGCTATTTCTACAAAGGTGTAATTGCAGAGTTAATGAGCATATGAAGTTTAAAATTATTTTTATGGCTTTCAAACGAACTGTCTCCCAGAAGAACTCAAAGAGAGCATATTTCCACTCTTATGAGTGGTAGGAGTCCCATCTCCCCAGGCCTTTATTAATAATGGATATTATGATTTTTAAAAATATTATGATTTCATTTGATAAAATGGTGTTTCTCATTGTTCAGTTCAAATTATTATGGACTTTGAACATTTGCCTCTTGTGTCTGTTGCCCATCTGTAGTTGTATTTCGTAAATGAGAACATTTTAAGTGTTATTTTGAACTGGGCATTTTTAGCAGTGGTCCCATAGGGTGGAATAACTCTTTACCTGACACTATGTCTTCTTTTGAAGGACAGTATCAAACTCACTTTATTGCCCCACCATCCGTGACCCAGCTGCACCCACAGGATGGAAGCAGCTTAGGTTCATGGCCAGTTGCATGCAATTAGAGAGTGTCAGCCCCGATCTGGAAGGAAAATAATTAAGTTGGTTGAAGCTACTCAGACATTGGAATTATGAGGTCTAATTTTAATTCTGCCACTGGCACTCCAGCTGTGACCCTGAATAGATCACTCTGATTTTCAGATGCTGTGTCTGTGAAATGAATATGAGCTGATGAGGGAACACAGATAAAGAGCCTGGGCCAGCACTCCTCACCCTCCTCCTGGAGGCGCCCAGGGAGTGCTCAGTCCTCAGTCCTTGTTCCCACTAATATCATGTAATTTGTAATTTGTGCTTCTCTTTTTCATTCTGAAGGCATCATCCAGTCAATGCCTGTCTGACCCCCATCTGCTCTCTGTATGGTACAGCAGTCACCACAGTAGAAGGCATAGGTAACACGAGGACCAGACTTCATCCTATTCAGGTGAGGGTGCCCTGCTCCCCTAAGGGGACTTAGATTTACAAAGAGTAGGAAGTCTGGGCTGGGCTGCTCGGTCCCTCATAAAGCTCAGCTGGAGCTGAGAGTTAAGCTGGGATGCTGGGATACATGAGTAACTGGCTTCTTGGGAACATGCTTTGGAAGACTAGAAGAATCCCTTCTTAAGGAATTTCTAATGTCACCTGCGTCATTTCCTCTGTGTTCTGATTAGAGAGACTATCCGTCCTGCATCTCCAAACCCAGAGGGGGACACCCACCAGGTGCAGTGACACATGCAATTTGGAGGTTGTTGTTGCAAAGTGAAAGATAATTTGATTTAAAGGCCCAGTTGAACATATTACACACACACCTCAGCCCCAAAAGACGTGTTGAGCTTGGGCTTGTCCCAGGACAGGCTCTGTCATGGAGTCTGCAGCTTTTCTTAGAGCAATGCCTTTCTGAGAGCTGTCTTCAGACCTAGACCCCTTCACCAGTGGATATGCTCCTTCCAACACACCATCACTCCCGGTCCGAACCTAGCAGTGGGTGGAAGATGGGAGCCAAGTAGAAAATAGGCAAACGTCACGTTCTGTAGATGTGATAAACAGCTCGGGGTTAATGTTGTGAAACCCATTAAGCTAACAGAAGAGGATGCTGCCTGGATATCCTGTGAGACTTGCCCTCACACAAGCAAAGGAGCCCTTTTCATTTTCAACTGACGCTGAGCTCTCATTGGTGCAATGCTGCTGTGAGACAGTAGCCAGAGCGCACTTCTCTCTTGGAAGCCCTACTCCAAAGAGATAGGAAATGGAAGGGATGGAAACAATACGGAAGAAATAAGGCAGTCCTTCTATCTTGATTGGACTCTGGGTTCTGGTGCTTCTAAACTCCTGCATGCTAGAGCATTAACGCAGCTATGGGAAGATCAAGTCATTCGTGATACACTGAATGTTTGTGCCTATGTGGTGTGTGCATGTATGTGGTATATACATGTGTGCGGTGTGTGCATATGTGTGTGGTGTGCATGTGTGTGTGAGAGAGATATGCACATGTTCATGCCTAAGTATTCCATGTTTTCAAGTTGAATATAATTTGGTTATTTCTTCTACTTCCTTTACTACAGTGGTACACACCCTTACTGTGTGTTGAGTCTTTAAAAGATACACAGTTTTATCTCACCCCTGACACTCTAAGTCAGTTGAGCTGGCATTTTACTGGGGTGGGACTGGAGTATTGGTCAGGGTTCTCTAAAGTCACAGAATTTATGGAACATCTCTATATATTAAGAAAAATTATTGGAATGACTTACAGTAAGCAGTCAAACTAACCCAACAATGGGCAACTGTGAATGAGAAGTACAAGAATCTAGTAGTTGTTCAGTCCCACGAGTCCAGTTGTTTCAGCTGGTCTTCTGTAATACTTTAGCTGTTATACTGAAGGAGTAGGTTCCAACAGATGAGCTGGCACGTGAGTGCCAGCAGGCAAGGAAGAAACCTTTCTTCTTCCATCATCTTTATGTAGGTCTCCAGCAGCAGATGGTGTGGATCTAAGGTTCTGCTTGGAACTTGCTCTGTCCCAGGCTGGCCTTGATCTCAGAGGTCTGCTTCCCTTTGTCTCCTGAGAATAAAGAGGTGCACCACCTTGCCTGAGCCTAAGCTTCTCATGGCTACTGTGTCTCAAAGTCAGGATCAAAAATAGGTGTCTTCTAGCCTTAAGATATGGATCACAGGTGTGCCCTCCATTTCTGAATTGTAGTTCATTCCAGAAATAGTACAGTTACAACTGGGAATAGCCATCAGAAATGGTAAGCTGGTAAGCTCCCTGGTCACTCAAAGGCTCAGAACCAGTGTCTTAAATAAAGTCAGGCAGCTTATAGGGGTCAAAAGTCAGACTGACCAGTTCAAAGGAAGCCACTTGAGATGAGATGAAGGCTTTTGGAAGGCCTTTTCCCATTATTCACTGAATGCGAGAATGTCCTGTGGAAGTTGCTTTGATATTTTAGACCTGGAACAGAGCACAGGGTCTGTGTTTCTAACCTTGTTGTGCTTTCCAGGAGAGGATTGCCAAGTGTCATGGCACACAGTGTGGCTTCTGTACTCCTGGGATGGTGATGTCCATGTATGCACTGCTCAGGAACCATCCAGAGCCCACTCTAGATCAGTTAACTGATGCCCTTGGTGGTAAGTATGGCTTTATTTTTTTAAGTGATAATGACAGTAATAATTGGACACCTATCATATGTGCTAAATTAAATGCTATTTAGCAATTAGTTTAAATAACTTTATAAGGTAGTTGCCATTATCTTCATTTCATAGATGGAGAAGCTGAGATTTAGAGGGAGTGGTTTATTATACATTATCCCACCTGTAGGAAAGAGTTGGTCTCTTGAAGTCAACCTGCAAGCCAGATCTGCACATTGCGTTTGACTGATGGATTGCTTGAGCCTCCGCCTCTCTCTCCACATCGTTCTCTTGTTTTCTCCAGTCAGAAAGCTGGGTTATTCATCCACCCTGGAGAAGACATGTAATGTCTGAATCTTGCTCTGTTCCCGCTGTTTCCTATTGGTTGAGTGTGTTAGTGGAGTCCAAGGAGAGAGGCTTGACTCTGGAGAATCTCCACCCCCAAACGGGGTCTCATCCTGGAGAGATGAAATGGGAAGAGTGGTGTAGGGCAGGAAGGGATTGACATTCTTGGTGGGATTATACTGGTGAAAGAAGGCAGACTGAGTGTCTCCTAATCCTGCTTTCCAGAACACTGGCTTTAAGTAGAGGGCACAGTGCAAGAGGCAGGGGATTGCACAGCTGGGCCTCAGTGTTGCCTCCCCTGTGCTGACAAGGAAGCTGCTGTTCCTCAGGGGTAATCTCCATTGATGTCATCAGAGGTTTATCTATCAAGCTGTGAGCCTCAGCTTTGGTCTCAGGCTGCTCCTTAACCTGACAGGCTCATCTTGGCAGTCTGTCTGCAGAGTTCCACTGTCCTTGGGAGTTATAGGACAATAATGGAAGACGTGTGGGTACCACTTCAAGAGTCTGGACAGGATATTTGGAACTGTCCCTGTAGCTCTTAAGAACACGTTAGTTGTCTTGGTGGGCTCAGCCTTGAAGGGAGAGGAATAGCGGTTTTGAATAAACACTCTGTAAAGATCTGCGTGCAGGCATGCAGAGTGGATCAGGAATCTCACTCAAATGTAGGACAAAGGAGACAAACTGAAGTGAGGCAGAGGTGACAGGTGTCATCCTGTAAGCCCAAGTGAAGAGTCAGTGATCTTACAGCTTCTAGGTCCAGATGCCCTCACTGTAGCAGATACTTATTGTAATGACACCTTTCCACTCTGAGCTGTGATCACTCCAAATTCAATCCCCCACCCGTGCGTGTGTGTGTGTGTGTGTGTGTGTGTGTGTGTGTTCATCAATAAGGCTCTGAAGAAGTTTTAAGCATTAGAAGAAATGCTCCCTGGCTCTATCTGTCTTTGTCTCTTACCTCTTTTATCTCTGCTCAGAGAACAGAGTCTAAAGCTCTCATGTTTACATCCTCTGTGAAAGGCTTCTGCAGCTCTCGGAGGGAACCCCAGTACAAAGGAGTGACATGGCACCCAGACTGGGTCCTGCCTGATTTCCGGGAGCTCACATCGTTGCTTTATGGCTGTAAACACTGACAAAAGATTCTCAGATTTTAGGATGCTTTAGACATGCATAGGGAATGTATAAATAATGAAGATTTGGGGGAACCAATCACTAGAGACTTGATTCTGTGTTGTTTCTAAAATAAAACCTCAGGGGCTAGGGGATGGCTGTCAGTAAAGTGTTTATGGTGAGAACCTGAGTTTTGATTCCTACCACCTGTGTAAGAGTCTGGGCGTGATGGTATAACCATCACTGCAAATGAGCAGCAAACTCATTGGCCAGCCTGCCTGGTAGAATTGATAAATGCCAGGCTTGGTGAGAGACCCTGTCTCAAAAATAATGTGGAAAACAATTGAGCAAGACACCCAGTGTCTACCACTTGCCTCCACATGTACTCATATACACGACAGGAACACACACATGGATCACATACACAAATAAAATATGACCTTATGTTGAGGATGGAGTAAGAACACAGAACCATTGTAAGAGAAGCACTGGCCACAGATTTATGGTAAATCTTGTGCTTAGTTGTCTCCCAAGTTCAGAAACTACTTACCTTTTCTTTACTGTTACAGAGTAACTTTGTTCTATCAACTGAAACTTCCCTCTCTGTCTCTCCTTATTTCCTTTGCTCTACCTCTGTCAAAAACTGATAGCTGCCACAGTAAGTATTAATAAGGAGGAAATCGTTCTTGAAAAGTGGGGAGGGATGGGGCTGGAGAGATGGCTCAGTGGTTAAGAGCACTGACTGCTCTTCCAGAGGTCCTGAGTTCAATTCCCAGCAACCACATGGTGACTCACAACCATCTGCAATGCAGTCTGATGCCCTCTTCTGGTGTATCTGAAGAGAGCAACGGTGTACTCATATACATAAAATAAATAAGTCATTAAAAAAAAGAAAAAGTACTGTTTGTAACGTTATGAAAAGTGGGGAGGGGAGAAAATCCTGCCACTTGTGAGAAGGTGAGACTGATTCCATGATAGATTTCAAATTGGCAGTTAAGGAGAGGAGGCCTAAAAACTGGGCGGCCCAGGCAAGCCAATCACTAATAGAAAAAACCCCCAGGCTCCAGCCTTCATGTCCAGGTAATGGAATGTCCCAGCCACTTGGCCTGAGGCAAGGACAATGGGTCAGCAGCAGTTTCCAGACTTCCTCAGCTACTTCCTCAGTAACAGTTTCCAGATCTCCCCAGCAACAGTTTCCAGTCCCCACACCCTGGTAATGGAATGTCCGTAGAGATGGACCCAACAGATTAACACAGAGGTCACCTACCCCGGAATTCCCTAATGTGCTTTGAATCAGGCCTGCGAGCTCGCTTGGATGTCTCTCTTGGTAATGAATGAATGGGAGACCCCAGCATGCTAGACCTCTGTAGAATGAAACACTCTTTGCATTTACATACTATTTCAGTCCAAGGTCTCATTCTTTGGTGAATGATGGACCCCCTTTTAACAACATACATGGACCATTCGTAGCACATTATGCTAGTTGAAACAAGTCAGACTCAGGAGAGCAAACATTGTATCATCCTGCTTATACAGGGAATCTGAAATAGTCCAATTTGTAGAAGCAGGGAATCGACTTGTGATCCAATAGTGATTATCTCAGGTGGGAGAAGGGGAAAACGAGGACTTATATAGATCAAAGCTTACAAAGTTTGTTATGCAAAATGAGTAAGTCCAATAAGCTCAACCTGGATCCCGCAGCTACCAAGACTATGTTAGACATTAAACACTCGCTGAGACGGTACAACTTTTGTAAATACCTTCTTTCTGCTGGATGAGTAAATAAATAGATGGCATTCGGAAACCCAGGGTGGCGGGTAAGCTCAGGTAAGGACTGTGGGGATGGACCCCCAGGGGCACACTTGTCTCTGAATGCATCAACCACTGATGGGTTGATTAGACAAATATGGACTTTTATGTCAGTAACATCTCAAAGTGGCTGCTGTTTCCTTTAAGTTTCCTTCTTGATTGTAACTACAGAACAAGTTTTTGTCTTAAAATTCTTGTGTCACTTGACCATCTGTCCCAAGAAGAGGGTGTATTTACAGACAGTGAGTACAGATGTGAGATATTACAATATACTTCAGGACTCTTGACTAAGTGTTCCAAGATGCTGATGTAAAATGAAATTTCAGACACAAGATGTCAAAGTTAAGACATCAAACAGAGCTTTCTTCTAAGGATGGGCGGGCTCCACTTGGCTTGCCATGCCTTCGTCCAGGGCACTTGAGTGATAACCAAGCCGGTTCTGCTTTTTCAGGGAATTTATGCCGCTGCACTGGATACAGGCCCATAATTGACGCGTGCAAGACTTTCTGTAAAGTAAGTAGAGAGAAGTACATGGTCAAATGTATTTTCCCCAAAATAAAACAGTGCAGGAGTGCCCGCTGGTGTGATTATGGCCACAGCCATTTCTGCTAATACAGGACCACTTCTTGGCATGAGGTCTACAATTCCTGTGTGGCATTCTCGGGCGAGAGGCCTAACCTCATTGCCTGGAGAGTCAAGTTGTGAGCATCTGAGCAGTTTGACATTGACCACAAGTCATTCCTTCCAAGAAGCTGCTCCCAATCTGTCTACCTATGTCAGGGACCCTGCCTAGGGCCCTCTGTAACCTTCTGTGAACATGATATGTACATGTGCATGACACAACATGACACTGGTCACAGTATAGCACAGTTGTCCAGGTTTTACTGGAATGGCTGCTGGATAGTGGAGGGTGTCCATCTCCAGGACACAGTCACCACCTACTAATCAGCAGACACTCAATCATTAATATCAATAGAACTAATAAACAAAAACCCACAAAAGACATTGCTTTGTTTTCCTTTGGTTTTAAGTCCCCATACAAAGTAACAGCCTCCTCCGTGGCATTCAAAACACATATAGTTATGGCTGGTCCTCCCACACCATCAGAAGATCATTTCTGCAGGATGAACTACGGAATCAATACCCCATAGATAAGATCAGAGTAAGATGCCGATTCTTGTTAGTATTATTAGTGGTATTTAAAATATTGTTAGTATTAGGAATAGCAATAGTTAATGCTCATTGTTACATGGCAAGATTATCTATTAAGACCTTTATAAACTTCATTAAACAGTCGCTGGTATTCAGACTTTGTTGTAAACTTAGTTTTTCAGTAGAATTAACTTGGCTATGCTGAAATATAAATGGCTTTCTTTTATGACACCTTTCAACATAGGTTCTACAGCTTCCACTGTAGGCACACAATTAACAATAGAATCCCCCGTGGAATTCTGACTGGCTTGTTTTGTATATGTGTGTGTGTGTGTTTTTTCCCCCCATCAGGCCTCTGGCTGCTGTCAAAGTAAAGAAAATGGTGTGTGCTGTTTGGATCAAGGAATAAATGGATTGGCAGAATTTCAGGAAGGAGATGAGGTCAGTGCACAGTGAGGTTGTTATACAGTTGTTCAAGACATGAGGTGGCTGTCGTCATCCTCAGAAGAATCAGTGGCTGCCCCAGGTTGATGAACTTGACTGTGTCAACATGTTCCCCTCTCATGCTCACTGTCTCCTTTTATTCTAAAAGTTCAGCTTACAGGGAATTGAGGAATGGAGGAAGGAGAGGTGACAGTACTGTGGTATAGTTAGGTGGGAGAAGTAGCTTCTCATAGTTCTGTAGCACCATAGAGTAATTGTGTTTGACAATTAGTTGACTATTTCAGAATAATTATTAGAATCTTCCTCAGCAGACAGAAACGATTCGTGTCTGAGATGCTAGATGCTAAGCAATTACGCAATCTCGTCCTGTGCATATACTGGAGTGCCTCTCTGCCCCACAAACAGATGCAGTTATTGCACTAACTGAAAGAAAAAGACTCTATTTTATAAATCTATCACACCAACTTTGTCATTTTCAATGACCACCATATGTGCCACCATACCTGAGTTGTCTGGCCATCTTCTTCCAGTCTCAGCTTATAAAAAAATTTAAAGTAGAGGTGCTTGACAATAATATAGAAGTTACCCATTCCCAACTGTTTCCCTTCCTGCAATCTGAGTTACCTGTGCTCAGTCATATTCTGAAAGTATTATGTGAGAAATTCCAGAAATCTTTATGTTTCAAATTACAGGCCATTGTGAATAGCGTAATGAACTCTCACTATGCTCTCCTCTGTCTCACTTGGAATGTGAACCAACCTTTTGTCCAATGTATCCATGGGGCATACATTACCTGCCCATCTGTCACTAAGTAGATGTCATGGCTACCAGACTGACTAGCACAGTAATGCAGTGCTGTGTTCAAATAACCATTGCTTTACTTAATAATGAATGACTCCAAAGCACAAGGCAGGTGATGCTGGTAATTCAGGTATGCCAACGAGTAATTACAGAGTCTTTTTAAAAAGTGAAATGACAGGTTTATGGTATGTTTACACTAGAGTATATTGCGAAGATTTACGGTAAGAATGATTTTTTGAAAAATGTAGTGTGTATAAAAGCCTAAAGTTTAAACTGTGTGGTTTTGGGTACCCACAGGGGTTGTGACAGAGATCTCTCCTGAGAATAGGGTGTACTATGATAACTTCTGTCATTGTCTCTTTTTTAAAGACAAATCCAGAACTGTTCTCGGAAGAAGAATTTCTGCCACTGGACCCAACCCAAGAGCTGATATTTCCCCCAGAGCTAATGGTAAGGAAAGCAGTTGCTCATCTAGAGGTGAAATGTTGGGAGAGGCTTTCTCCAAAGCTCATGGTGCAGCCCTCAGATCTCCTTAGAGACAGACACTGTCAGGGGAGAGCAGATAGTCACAGCTTGTCAAAGCGTGAGAAATAATCTGTGGAGTACTCGGCATGAATGGGATTTCTGTATCATTCTCACTCCCCACCCCCACCCCAGGACTCAGACCATGGAGAAGAGGTGGAAGGGTATCTTCTGAACATGACAGAACCATTGCATTCATGAGGTCATTGTTTGCTCAAGAACAAATCAGTCAACATTCAGCATGGAGAGCTGAGACACTCATGTCCCTCACCCTTAGGTCACACACTATCAATAGTTAAAGGCTGGGGGTTGGAGGGGAGGGACGGTCAGTTTTCTTCAAAGGTATGGTCTAGGTTGTCCATGACCCAGTGGATGGCTCCATGTCCATGTGTATATAGATAGCACACATTGTACTCAGTAGGTTTTGAAAAAAAAGGAGGAAATGAAGTTTCGAGGGTTCAGGAGATTGAGAGTGTGGAAGATGAATCTTGAAGGAATTAGGGGAGGAAAGGAGTAATTTAATAACAGTGTATAACATTCATATATAAGATTCTCAAAGAATTAATAAAATATTACAAAGAAAAAAACTGATGGGCACATAGATGCCAGCCAGCCATCTGTCGTCCTCACCTCAGAGTCCAGAATGTGTGGGCCGAGGAAGAGGTGGAGGGCGGAGCTGCCATGAGGGGTGGGAGGATGTCAAACACAGCTGGTGATGTCTGTTAAAAGTCACAGACATGCAATCACTGTCCTTCAATATCAGCTTGTTTTCTCCACCCACTTACTCGGAAGTTCATTTTTCTGTCGGACGATTTGGCAAAATTAAACACGTTGCTATGTTAGTGAATGTCAAAATGAGTTTCTGGGAGATATCAGAGCCGATGGCAGCTGTAGCTATGTGTAAACTGTGTCAGGCTTTAACCATGAACTCTGACTCTTGGGAAACCCCTATTTTAGCTCACAAAATTTGGTTTTTAGAAGATTTTCTTTCTCTAGAGTGAAAACAGGAGAACTTTGTCACAAGCTCTCTCACATCTCTGTTGTTTTTTCAATAGAGAATAGCTGAGAAACAGCCACCAAAGACCAGAGTATTTTGTGGTGATAGAGTGACGTGGATTTCCCCTGTGACCCTGAAGGAACTTGTGGAAGCTAAATTCAAGCATCCCCAGGCCCCCATTGTCATGGGGTACACCTCTGTGGGTATGTAGACTCTTCCTGGGACGTCTTATAAGGGAACAAGTTCTATGCATTGATGTCAGAAAAATAGCAGAAAACCCAGTATTGTTCAAAAAATGTTACAGCATTAGGTGACTGCCTGCCCTGTGCCTCACTGCAGTAGAAGCAAGCTTGCTGGTCCCATGGTAAGCTAGCATCAGGAATGCCCTGTGCCTCACTGGAGCAGAGGCATGCTTGGTGGTCCCATGGTAAGCTAGCATCAGGGTGCAGGTATCCTGGCTTTCCATTTGGGTACCACAGTGGCTCTCATCCTGAACTGTTCTGTCTTTCCTCTCTGGTGGCTTCTCAGTGGCTATGGCATATTTTATTTAAACAGCAGTTTTGGAGCCTTCACTTTTTCCATATAGGCCTGGCATGGTTGCCCATCTCTTCGAAGGGCCTCCAGGATCCTCTTCAAGTGAGATCTGAGTGTGCTACAATGCACAATTGTTAGTTTTAGAGCTACCAATTCCAAAGACTCCCTAAATTTAACCAGCCACTGTCTCTGCTTTGCAATAAACAGACCAATAAAAGGAAATAACTTTCATATGTCCAAAGACATTGGTTTCATCATAATTCAAAATAAAGAGAGTCGTCAGCGTCCTTTTGTTCTAATCTTGTGTCTCTCTCACAACCCCCCAGGGCCTGAAGTAAAGTTTAAAGGTGTCTTCCACCCCATCATAATTTCTCCTGACAGAATTGAAGAGCTGAGTGTCATAAGCCAGGACCAGGATGGTGAGTTCTTAGGTCTCTTTTCCTTTGGAAATGCACTTATCAAGTGATCACGTGGTTTACTTACACAAGGCTTTACTTCAGGGCTGACCCTGGGTGCTGGCCTCAGCCTGGATCAGGTGAAGGACATTCTGGCTGATGTAGTCTGGAAGCTTCCAGAAGAGAAGACACAGACATACCGCGCTCTCCTGAAGCACCTGAGAACTCTGGCTGGTGCCCAGATCAGGAACATGGCTGTATGTATTTGACAAGGAACCTCGGGCATTCATGTCTTAGATGAGTCCTTTCTGTTCTTTAAGCAAACGAAGAGAAACTCTCTAAAGCAGGACTTAGAGCCTTATCTTAGTGCTTATGCTTTGTAACTATGTAACAAGTGAAAGTAAAGTAACTGTTCTTAAAAGTCTTTAGGGGGCCACATTGTGAGCAGACATCTGGACTCAGATCTGAATCCTCTTCTGGCTGTGGGCAACTGTACCCTCAACTTACTATCCAAAGGTAAACAGCAGTTTCTGCTTGGGGCCGGGGGTCAGTATTATAACCTTAATTTGTTCCTATCACCTCTGGGGAGGAAGGAAGCTCAGTTTGGAAAATGACTATTCACTGTAATAATAGTTTTCCTTTGCCTTTTTGATGCCGAAAAGTTGGTCAGTCTGTCTTAATACTATCTGCCAGTCTCTCCATCAGTTTCTTCTTGAGACCTTGCTCTATCAGAGGACCAAACAATTTGGCCTTGAGACCTGATGCTGTATTTACAAATGTGTTTGGCTGCATTTATACCTATCCTGGGATTCATAGCCTAGCATAGTTACACACATCTGCTAGGTGTTTTCTTATCCTACAATGGACATGCTTGTTCTTGTTAATGTGACAAGGAGCCTCCGGCATTCATGTCTTGGGTTAATGTGAATTGATCCTTGGTGAAGGCCATAGGCTCTGAGAGCCAGCGAGCCCTTTGTTGGAGACACACCACCATGGTACCAGGTATTTGACTCCAATGTCCTGCTTTGGACTTGTCCTTAGCTTGTCTTCATTGAATGCACACAGATCTTTTCCAACTGAGTAATTATTGGACTGCCTGCTGTACTTATGTTCTTGAGTGTTATTTTTGAAATTCAGTGCAGGGATTTTGTTTCTCTTACACCAATTTTGTCTAATAATTATTAGGGAATTCTTATAATTTGGGCCTCTAAAAATATATGGAGATTGCTTTTACAGATATGAGCTAGCTTTCTGTTATATATATTGTGAAACATCTACTCCTTATAATGTCTAAACTACGGAATAATCTTAAGGAGGAAGATTTAAATTCGGGGTATCAATTTAAGTAGCACACTTTTGTAAAATCTCCTGCCATGAGAAGTAGGGTTAGATGAAAGAATACAAATACAAAAACTTTTTAGAGTTTTCCTCCCAGCTATACTTTATTATGGCTTTAAACAGTTCCTGCTGCCAGTCCAACCAAAAAACTGAGATTCTTTAGATGCTGTGGATGGGATATAACCAAATAAAATAACATTCACTGGTGCACAAATTCCAAAATCGCTAAAAGGTTGCTCTGATAATTCACTTCTATAGATAATAAGGCTCCTGGCTATAGAAAAAAATGAAATGGTTATGGATTGAATTCATCAAATAGCAAAAGGGATATTAATATCTACTCCCTGGTAGCAAAGCCCTAAGCCAACTGTGCCATTGGGAAGGAGACTGCTAAGGTCTCTGTTCTTTAGGAGACTCTGTGTTTTTATCTGCAAGCAAGTATATAAGACAAAAGGAGGGAGGAGGGGATAGGCTGGGAGAAACATCGAAGGATGCTGTCAGAGAAGACACACACACACACATACACACCTACACTGCCACTGCCATCCCACCACAAGCAGTAGAATTATTCCCCAAGTTTGTTCACGGAATTGAAGGTGTCCTTTTGTCCACAGATGGAGAACGGCAGATCCCTTTAAATGAGCAGTTTCTACGAAAGTGTCCTGAAGAGGATCTTAAGCCTCAGGAAGTCTTGGTCTCAGTAAACATCCCCTGTTCCAGGAAGGCAAGGATGGCCCTTTGTCTTCATTTCCCAGTTCCCCCATCAGTTTGAGTGAGCTCATCCAGGAAGTGACAAGGGGCATGTGTGCAGCACAGTCACTGTCACCCTGCTGTGCAGTCTCCTGACATTTCTAGAGCTAGAACACCTCTCTTCCTCTGCCACAAGCTATAAGGTTACTTTTAAGCAGTTTTTAATATACCCTTTGTCCTTTTGAACTTAGTCCCTGAGTGAGATAGGTCTTCCTAGATCCTGGTCTTGAAAGAAGCTTTTTTTAAAAAAGACATTTGCAGTGGAATGTAGAGGGGAAAGGGTGGGGTTGGGAGTTGGATAGACTGAGGGTTGCATTCTGGTTTCAAGACCTGAACTAATTACTGAATCACCCCAAGCCCAAGGCTCATGCTTTGTACAGTGGTAGAATGAGGCCTACCTCGAGAGATGTGGTGGTTTAGGGGACTGTCGTCCTAAAGAACCACACACTCATGGCTCAAACAATGGAGACTGACTTTCTGGGAACTCTGATAATGAGGTGTCAGCAGGGATGGTGGCCTCCTTTGAGGCATGGCATTGTCTCTCAGGGGAGCTCTGTTTGTGCCTCTTTTCTTCAGTGGGAGTTTGTGTCAGCCTTCCGACAAGCCCAGAGACAACAGAATGCACTAGCGATTGTCAACTCTGGAATGAGAGTCCTTTTTAAAGAAGGGGGTGGCGTCATTGAAGAGTTATCCATTTTGTATGGAGGTGTCGGTCCAACCACCATCAGTGCCAAGAACTCCTGTCAGAGACTCATCGGAAGGTAAGACATTGTGTCCTTAGCTTCCAGGTAACAGAGCAACCTGCCCTGGGGGAAACTGTAATGAGAAAAAAAATGCTCACAGTTTCATGGCTGGGAATTCCAACCCGACTTCAGAATCAGTTCCATGTGTTGTGTTTAGCAAATTCCCAAGTGAGCATTATAGAATCTGTGTATGCAGTGTGTATAAGCACACAAGTGTGTGTGTGCTTGTGTTTGTGTGTGCATGTGTGTCTGTACATGTATTTATGTAAGACAGAGTGGGGTGGGACACCCATTCTCTGTACTATAAATTTACATTTTTTTTGTGGGGAAAATAATGTAAGTCTCTGTGTTTTCTGATGTTCTTAGGTGACCTCTGTGAAAGGGTCGTTCGAGTCCCAGGTTGAGAACCACTGCTTTAACAAATCAGATTGCCTGATGCATGCTGTAGTTCAGTCTCTTCTAACTCCATGAACTCATTCAGTCTGTTAACCTTATGGGACCTCAGTTTCCTTCTCTGTCAAAGAAGAGAACCATGCCTACCGTATAGAGTAGTTGGGAGGGTTCTATAAGTGAGTAAGCACAGTGCTCATTCAGAACCTGGCATGCAGAAGTGTCACAGGAGTAGAAGAGGCAGTGAGCATATCCTGAGCTGAGGACTCTGGTGGAGGATGTGGTGGGACCCAGCCCAGACACTTGGAGAGTAGCACACCAACCTAAACTTGGGTTGCCTGGCTGTACAGCCTGCACTCCTGGTTCCTGTGAAGATCACAGCCATTTGCCTTATCTATCAGCTGAACCTGCTGAGCTGGGTCTCCTCCTCTGCCTCTCACAGGCCCTGGGATGAAGAGATGCTGGACAAAGCGTGCAGGCTGGTTTTGGATGAAGTCACCCTTGCAGGCTCGGCTCCTGGAGGGAAGGTGGAATTCAAGAGAACCCTCATCATCAGCTTCCTCTTCAAGTTCTACCTGGAGGTGTCACAGGGTTTGAAGAGGGAGGTGAGTGGAACGTGTCCCGTGGACTGGGCTGCTCAAAGCAGAGGTACCAGCCCCTGCTGGGGAGCTGTACATTACCGAAGATGAAAAGCTAGAATCACATCCTATTGGTGCGTGTCCACTGGCCTATCCTGTGCATAGCTGTGAGTTTGAGGAAGAATTCCAAGGAGGTCTCAGACCTGCACAGGGCTTTGCCTAACACTACTCAGTTATTACCACTTCATAATAAACATATGGCATATCTGGATAATTCTGAGAAAACTTATTAATGAGTTTAATGCACTTTCTTTCATTTACTGAAGCCTATAAATGAAGCTTACTTCCTTATGCTTGGTTTTCTTGTCTGGGTTTCCTTTATTCGTTAAATGACGGCAGCCACTGGAGCACCATGAAGAGAGTCATCATAAGGAAAAGGCTTAGCATAGTGCCTGGTGCTTCAGAGGGATGCTGGGTATTAATGGTCGTACTTAGTAACACTAGCAATGCACAGACATTCGTTTGTCTGCTTCCCCTTATCAAAGGGCCACATGGTTGTTGCCTAAAGAAACACAGTGGGAAAAAAGTTCTCTGGAAACTCTTTTCTGGTTCTAAGGAACGTGGACCTATTGTCCTCATGAGCCTCATACTACCATCAACCCAGCCAGATGAGAAGCCATGTAGAAACCAACCCAATAACTTTTTTTAATTATATATTTTTTATTGGATGTTTTATTTACATTTCATATGTTATCCCCTTACCCCATACCCCATCCACCCAGGAACCCCCATCCCTTCACCCCTCCTCCTGCTTCTCTGTCGATGTATCCCAACCTACCCACCCCACTCCCACCACCCACCCTCAAATTTCCACCCCCTGGGGCGTCCAGCCTTCATGAGGTCAAGGATCTCTTCTTCCACCTATGCCCAGCAGGGCCCTCTGCTCTGACATATACAGCTGAAGCCATGGATCCCTCCCTAAGTGCTCCCAGACTGGTGGTTTAGACTCTGTGAGCTCTGGTTGGTTGGTATTGTTGCTCTCCTCATGGGGCCACAAACCCTTTCAGCTCCTACAGTCTTCACTCTGACTCCTCCATTGGGAACCCCATGATCAGTTCAAAGGTTAGCTATGAGCATCTGCCTCTGAATATGTCAGACTCTTGCATACCTCTGAGGAGACACCTTTATCAGGCTCTTATCAGCATGCACTTCCTGACATCCACATCAGCGTCTACCTTTGGTGACTTCACATGGGATGGATACTCAGGTGGAATGGTCTTCAGACGGCCCCTCCTTCAGTTTCTGTCCCTCACTTTGTGTCCATATTTGCTCCCTTGGGTATTTTGTTTCTCCTTCTAAGAAGGACCGAGTCAGCCCCACTTGGTCTTCCTTCTTCATGAGCTTCATGTGGCCTGTGAGTTGAATCTTGGGTATTTCAAGGTTCTGGGCTAATATTCAGTAATAGGTGAGTGAATACCATGTGTGTTCTTTTGTGATTGGCTTACTTCACTCAGGATGATAATTTCTAGTTCCATCCATTTATCTAGGAAACTCTCGAATTCATTGTTTTTAATAGCTGAGTAATATTCCATTGTGTAAATGTACCACATTTTTTGTATCCATTCCTCAGTTGAAGGACATCTGGGTTCTTTCCAGCTTCTGGCTATTATAAATAAGGCTGCTATGAACATACTTGAGCATGTGTCCTTGTTATATGTTAGAGCATCTTCTGGGTATATGCTTAGGAGTGGTATAACTGGATCCTCAGGTAATGCTATGTACAATTTTCTGAGGAGCCGCCAGACTGATTTCCAAAGTGGTTGCACCATCTTGCAGTCCCACCAACAATGGAGGAGTGTTCCTCTTTCTCCACACCCTTGCCAGCATCTACTATCACCTGAGTTTTTGATCTTAGCCATTCTGACTGGTGTGAGATGGAATCTCAGAGTTGTTTTGATTTGCATTTCCCTGATGACTAAGGATACTGAACACTTCTTTAGGTGCTTCTTGGCCATTCCAGTTTCCTCAGTTGAAAATTTTTCGTTAAGCTCTATACCCCATTTTTTAATAGGGTTATTTGGTTGTCTAGAGTCTAATTTCTTGAGTTATTTGTATATATTGGATATTAGTCCTCTATCAGATGTAAGATTGGTAAAGATCTTTTCCCAATTTGTTGGTTGTCGTTTTGTCCTATTGACAGTGTCCTTTGCCTTACAGAAACTTTGCAATTTTATGAAGTCCCATTTGTCAATTCTTGATCTTAAAGCATATGCCATTGGTGTTCTGTTCAGGAACTTTTCCCCTGTGCCCAAGTATTCGAGGTTCTAACCCATCTTCTCCTCTATTAGTTTCAGTGTATCTGGTTTTATGTGGAGGTCCTTTATCGATTTAGACTTGAGTTTTAAACAAGGAGATAAGAATGGATCAATTTTCATTCTTCTACATGTTGTCCTCCAGTTGAACCAGCACCATTTGTTGAAAATGCTGTCCTTTATCCACTGGACAGTTTTAGCTCCTTTGTCAAAGATCAAGTGACCATAGGTGTGTGGGTTCATTTCTGGGTCTTCAATTCTATTCCATTGATCTTCCTGCCTGTCTCTGTACCAATAGCATGCAGCTTTTATCACTATTGCTCTGTAGTACGGCTTGAGGTCAGGGATGGTGATTCCTCCAGAAGTTCTTTTATTGTTGAGAATAGTTTTCGCTATCCTGGGTTTTTTGTTATTCCAAATGAATTTGAGAATTTCCTTTTCTAACTCTGTGAAGAATTGAGTTGGGATTTTAATGGGAATTGCATTGAATCTGTAGATTGCTTTTGGCAAGATGGCCATTTTTATTATATTAATCCTGCCAATCCATGAGCATGGGAGATCTTTCCATCTTCTGAGATCTTCGATTTCTTTCTTCAGAGACTTGAAGTTCTTGTCTTACAGGTCTTTCACTTGCTTGGTTAGATTCACACCAAGGTATTTTATATTATTTGCAACTATTGTGAAGGGTGTCATTTCCCTAATTTCTTTTTCAGTCTGTTTATCTTTCATGTAGAGGAAGGCTACTGATTTGTTTGAGTTGATTTTATAACCAGCCACTTTGCTGAAGTTGTTTATCAGGTTTAGGAGTCTTCTGGTGGAAGTTTTGGGGTCACTTAAGTATACTATCATATCATCTGCAAATAGTGATATTTTGACTTCTTTCTTTCCTATTTGTATCCCTTTGACTTCTTTTTGTTGTCTAATTGCTCTGGCTAGGACTTCCAGTACTATATTGAATACATAGGAGGAGAGTGGGCAGCCTTGTCTAGTCCCTGATTTTAGTGGGATTGCTTCAAGTTTCTCTCCGTTTAGTTTGATGTTGGCCACTGGTTTGCTGTATATTGCTTTTACTATGTTTAGGTAGGGACCTTGAACTCCTGATCTTTCCAAGACTTTTATCATGAAGGGATGTTGAATTTTGTCAAAAGCTTTCTCAGTATCTAGTGAGATGATCATGTGTTTTTTTTTCTTTGAGTTTGTTGATATAGTGTATTACATTGATGGATTTCCGAATATTGAACCATCCCTGCATTCCTGGGATAAAACCTACTTGATCATGATGGATGATTGTTTTGATGTGTTCTTGGATTCTGTTTGCGAGAATTTTATTGAGTATTTTTGCATCGATATTCATAAGGGAGATTGGTGTGAAGTTCTCTTTCTTTGTTGGGTCTTTGTGAGGTTTGCGTATGAGTGTAATTGTAGCAATTCATGTTCCTTCTGTTTTTATTTTGTGGAACAGTTTGAAGAGAATTGGTATTAGGTCTTCCTTGAAGGTCTGATAGAATTCTGCACTAAAACCATCTGGTCCTGGGCTTTTTTTTGGTGGGGAGACTTTTAATGACTGCTGCTATTTCCTTAGGGGTTATGGGACTGTTTAAATGGTTTACTTGCTCCTGATTTAACTTTGGTACCTGGTATCTGTCTAGGAAGTTGTCCATTTCATCCAGGTTTTCCAGTTTTGTTGAGTATAGGCCTTCGTAGTAGGATCTGATGATTTTTTGAATTTCTTCAGTTTCTGTTGTTATGTCTCCCTTTTCAGTTCTGATTTTATTAATTTGGATACTGTCTCTGCGCCCTCTGGTTAGTCTGGCTAAGAGTTTATCTATCTTGTTGATTTTCTCAAAGAACCAGCTCCTGGTTCTGTTGATATTTTGTTTTGTTCGTTCTGTTTCTATTTGGTTGATTTCAGCCTTGAGTTTGATTATTTCCTGCCTTCTACTCCTCTTGGGTGTATTTGCTTCTTTTTGTTCTAGAGCTTTTAGTTGTGCTGTCAAGTTGTTAGTGTGTGCTCTCTCCAGTTTCTTTTTGTAGGCACTTAGAGCTATGAGTTTTCCTCTTAGCACTGCCTTCATGGAGTCCCACAAGTTTTGGTATGATGTGTCCTCATTTTCATTAAATTCTAAAAAGTCTTTAATTTCTTTCTTTACTTCTTCCTTGACCAAGTCATCATTGAGTAGAGAGTTGTTCAGTTTCCATGTGCATGTGGGTTTTCCATTGGTTTTGTCATTATTAAAGACCAGTCTTAGTCCGTGGTGATCTGATAAGATGCAAGGGATTATTTCAATCTTTTTGTATCTGTAGAGGCTTGTTTTGTGACCAATTATATGGTCTATTTTGGAGAAGGTACCATGAGGTGCTGAGAAAAAGGTATATTCTTTTGTTTTAGGATGAAATGTTCTATAGATATCTGTTAAGTCCATTTGGTTCATAACTTATGTTAATTTCACTGTGTCTCTGTTTAGTTTCTGTTTCCATGATCTGTCCATTGCTGAGAGTGGCGTGTTGAAATCCCCCATTATTATTGTGTGAGGTGTAATGTGTGTTTTGAGCTTTAGTAAAGTTTCTTTTATGTATGTAGGTGCCCTTGCATTTGGAGCATAGATGTTCAGAATTGAGAGTTCACCTTGGTAGATTTTTCCTTTGATGAGTATGAAGTGTCCTTCCTTATCTTTTTTGATTACTTTTGGATGAATGTTGATTTTATTTGATATTAGAATGGCTACTCCAGCTTGTTTCTTGGGTCCATTTGCTTGGAAAATTGTTTTCCATCCTTTTATTCTGAGGTAGTGTCTGTCTTTGTCACTGAGGTGTGTTTCTTGTATGCAGCAAAATTCTGGGTCCTGTTTGTGTATCCAGTCTGATAGTCTGCGTCTTTTTATTGGGGAATTGAGTCCATTGATGTTAAGAGATATTAAGGAAAAATGATTGTGGCTTCCTGTTATTTTTGTTATTAGAGGTAGAATTATGTTTGTATAGCTATCTTCTTTGGGGGTTGTTAGAAGATTACTTCCTTGCTTTTCTAGGTTGTAATTTCCCTCCTTGTGTTGGCATTTTCCATCAATTATCCTTTGAAGTGCTGGGTTTGTGGGAATATTGTGCAAATTTGATTTTGTCATGGAATATCTTGGTTTCACCATCTATAGTGATTGAGAGTTTTGCTGGGTATAGTAGTCTGGGCGGGCATTTGTGTTCTCTTAGGTTCTGTATGATGTCAGTCCAGGCTCTTCTGGCTTTTATAGTCTCTGCTGAGAAGTCTGGTGTAATTCTTATAGGTCTGCCTTTATATGTTACTTGACCTTTTTCCCTTACTGCTTTTAGTACTTTTTCTTTGCTTTGTGCATTTGATGTTTTGATTATTATATGACGGGAGGTATTTCTTTTCTGATCTAGTCTATTTGGTGTTCTGTAGGCTTCTTATATGTTTATGGGCATCTCGTTCTTTAGGTTAGGGAAGTTTTCCTCAATAATTTTGTCGAAGATATTTACTGGCCCTTTAAGTTGGGAATCTTCACTCTCATCTATATCTATTATCCTTAGGTTTGGTCTTCTCATTGTGTCCTTGATTTCCTGGATGTTTGGGGTTAGGAGTTTTTTGCATTTTGCATTTTCTTTGACAGCTGTGTCAATGTTTTCCATGGTATCTTTCGCACATGAGATTCTCTCTTCTATCTCTTGTATTCGGTTGGTGATGCTTGCGTCTATGACTCCTGATCTCTTTCCTAGGTTTTCTATCTCCGTGGTTATCTGTCTCCCTTTGAGATTTCTTTATTGTTTCTATTTCCATTTTCAGATCCTGAATGTTTTTGTTTAATTCCTTCTTTGTGTTTTCTTGCAGTTCTTTATGAGATTTCTGTGTTTCCTCTTTAAGGGCTTCTATCTGTTTATTTGTACTCTCCTGTATTTCTTTAAGGGAGTTACTTATGTCCTTCTTAAAATCCTCTATCATCATCATCATCATGAGAAGTGATTTTAATTCTGAATCCTGCTTTTCCGGTGTCCAGGGCTTGCTATATTGGGAGAACTGGGTACTGATGATGCCAAGTAACTTTGATTTCTGTTGCTTATGTTCTTGTGCATGCCTTTCACCATCTGGTTAACTCTAGTGTTACCTGCCCTCACTGTGTAAGACTGGAGTCTGTATTTCTAGTTATCTTGCTTGTGTCAGAGCTCCTCAGAGTCCAGTTGTCTCTGTGGTCTTATGATCCTAATCTCCTGGGTGGAAGAACTCCTGGGACTCAGGCCTACCTCTGGGATCTGGAAATCCTTTTGCTCTGGGTCCGGTGGTTCCTCTAGGATGGCTCACGATACGATGTCTCCACAAGTGCAAACCAGCTAGGTGTCTGCTGCTCTGGGTGCAGTGGCTCCTTGGCTGCTCTGAGTGCAGTGGCTCCTCTAGGATGGCTCAGGCTTCGGTATCTCCACAGGAGCAGACCAGCTGTGTGTCTGCCTCAGCCAAAAGGACAACCCAATAACTTTAAATAGTTGGGAGAGGTGGTGGATTTGATAAAAATGCATCATACAGAGCTCTCAAATAATTAATAAAAGTTAATACATAAATAAATAAACAGAAGACAGGAAATTCTCCTTTATGGAGATTTTTAGAGGTGTCTTCTCAGCACAGATGAGAATAAGAACCAATGGGTTGTATCAAACTTTTGAGATGAGGAGCTTGAAGTCACATATAAACATATAATATATTTCTACCAAGTGATCAAAAGTGGAAAAAGCAAGGCCAACTGCAGGCTCTCGTAATGAACAGTAAAGAACACAATTTCCTGGAGAATCAGCTGATATAATTAAAGCTCCTGTGCTCTGTTTAGCAGCCTCTCTTTGAAAACAATAGCTGTTGTTAGCTTTACTTCCTATTAAAATTGGGTAAGTTATAAAATAATCATAAAATATATTGTTTAACATCTCATCTAAAGCAGCACGTGGCTCATTTCCTCTGTTCTCAGAAGGCACTCTCCTGTGGGTGACAGCACCTGGGCCACCTCTGCATACTTGAGAGCCTGGCCAGACGCCACCGTGCAGCTTTATGACTTTTTACAATAATGGGTGCTAGTTTTGACTTTTCCTGCTGTAAGTTTGGTCTTCTCTGTTTTATTTGGCTTCTCTTTTGTTGTTATATGTATCCTCAAGTCACATCTAGACAAAGGTGAGAAAATAATGATTGGAAAATTGGGAAATTGCTAGTTATTGGGAAATAATCCTATGAAACAGATGGTGGAGGTCAGTGACATTCTAATTTCATGTGGTTTATCACCTCACAAGGAGGATATATACCTTTCAGGGTTCATGTCCTGGGGCCAGGAGGTTGTTTCAATTTTCAGGGTTCTGAAAGGGTGAATGCTTAATCAATGTTAGATGTTATGGTAGAGATATCTGCTAAGAATTATACCAGGATTCCCTCCCAGAACATTCTGGTACATTTTAAATGTCTACTGTTTTCCTTTACAGGACCCAGGTCACTATCCTAGCCTGGCAGGCAACTATGAGAGTGCTTTAGAAGATCTTCATTCAAAACATCACTGGAGAACATTAACCCACCAGGTTAGTGCATGCATGCATACATGCATGTATTTAAATTCAAAGACAGGGCTTCAGGTCTCTTGCCTGCTGGTGACACATTGCCTTCTTCAGGGTTCACTAAAGCTTCAAAACCAGGTTGAGAGTGTAGTTGGATGGTATAGCATAGACAAGTCCCAAGTTTGATCCCCAATACTTCAAAAAAAAAAAAGAAATACTTCAGAAAAAAAGAAATCAAAAACAATTAGAAATCATGATTAAAAAGAAACCTGGAAAATGTTAAACAAATATGCCTGTTTTAGTCTTAAAGGCTCTGTTTTTTTCTTTTACTATGGCTTTTTACTAAGGACATAAACAATCTAGCTGTCGCTATAAACTTTTCACCCTAGCTTTGTGACTATTGAAGCACAACAAAGGCAAGTTCTGAGTTGGTCCAAGAACTGTTCTGGTTCCTTTCAAAGGACCAAGGGCACGACCTGCCCTAGGGACCATGGAACCTTGGAGGTGCAGATATTACAGCAGCTGCTAGTTTGTTTTGTTCCAGTACTGGAATACTTTCCTTTCCAAGTTCTTCCTATCTTCGTGGCTTTCTTCAAATGACATTTTATTGTGAAATCAAACATGAATGCTAAGAGGTACTTTCTAGATTTCCTGATGAAATTAAGGAGCTCCCCAGAGCTTTCAAATGGAGTTTCTGTCATAGCGTCATAAAAACATAAAATGGAGCCATTCTGTTAGTAAATTGGGTAAGACTTAATATGTGTTTTCCTGAAATAATTGTCAGGAAACTGGACCCAGAGTTCTGTTGAATCAGGAATGGGAAGAGATTTTAAAACGGCAGTGCATCAGATCTGCTGATGGATCTACTTATAAAACCTGCATCTTGTCTCAGTGAGCACTAAAGTTGCTGTATGTCCCTTGAGGTTTTGAGTTCAATATGTTCAAAAAATTTAAATATGCCAAACTCCTTTAGAAGTGAACATTTTGAAAGTTAAAAACAGCTGCCTTCTCCCCTGGCATTCTGTAAAATACTATAGCCACAGTCTGTGGCTTCTGTGGCCTTAACATTGCCTTGGCAACGGGTCCCATTGCAGAGAGGAACTAAAGCTGAGTAATGGACGGTCAGATCATCCAAGAAAACTGAAAGTCTTCTCAGCGGTTGATTTTGAAATGGATCTGTAATGCTGGGATCTGAGTCAGTGTTTTGGGTACAGTGTATTTCCCATAGAGATAAATTTTGTTTTCATTTCACCCGTGGTTTCTTACACACACACACACACACACACACACACACACACGAGCATCCCAGTGTCCAGAGCAACTTCAGCCTTTACAACCAACACTTTGCCCAAATCAATTCCTTGCTTTTGAAGTTCTCTTTCATGGTCCTCGCAAACACTGAGGTCGTCAGATGACAGAGAGAATGATGTCATAGTACTTGATGAGGTGAATCCTTGCTTAAGCTACAGGTTGAGGGGTAGCCAGCAAGCTGAGGAATGCAAACTGTGAACTTCATGCCAGAAAGTCAAAGACAGACAGGAGCTACACTCCCCTATGGTCACTCTGCCTCCTTCCGGTAGCTGACTGTCCATGTGACTGCAAGAGATCACCTGATTGAGGAATATCCTCCTTTTCTCATTGTGTCTTTAGCCGTGTAACAAAAAGGAGGTAGCACTTACCTGCAGTCCATTGCAGCTGGTGGCTACCGATAAATCAGTTTTCACATTCGGCTATCCCAAGCTTGAGAATTTCTCTGTCTTTTGGCAGACCTGGCACAGTAAAGCTTTAAGATTTTCTCCGTTGCTGTGAAATGTTCCATTATTTACAGTAAAAGGTGTTAGCATTAATAATAGAAAACTCCAGATGCCTTATAGATCCCTGTTAGCATGTTCGCCCAGTGTCCAAGCCTATAACTTACCTACAAGTTGGCTTTTCGGGAAGGAAACAGAAAATCTCTGATAGTATTTTGTGAAAACATAAAAGAGATGTGGACCATTCTTTCACTCAGATATTTTGTGGGCTGAGAGCCTAACATGATTTTCAGTACTTTGGGGCAGGTTTTTCAGAGAAATAATCTCTGCCTTCTGCAACATGAGAAAATATACCTGATTGACACCTGTCATTTGTCCTTTCATTGTCATCCAGTTCTCTAGTGGTGGCGATGGGGGTGAAAGGGTGTGAAAGGTTAGAGGAGTGAGGGTGAGAGGGTGGGGGTGAGGGTGAGAGGGTGGGGTAGGAGCTGTGGAGCCCTTTGTTAGGGGAGCAGAGCAGTGAGTAGATCCACGGAGCTATCGGATGATGGGGCCACTTCAGATCCCTGCTCACACCTGAATCCCCACATGTAAATTTGACTTCATATTAGAAAAGAGAGATTGAATCTATGTGCTTGGACAAATAAGAGTTTCCACTAGAGATATTTGGCATCTATAGTCTGAAAACTAAGAAAAAATACATCATGTTTATACATTTCAATTTATTTTATTTTATTTTATTTTATTTTATTTTATTTTATTTTATTT